TTCTTAGTTCCAATGACAGGATAGATCTAATTTCTGATGTCAGAAAAACCCCCAAACGAACAAAAAGATCAGGGGTTGTTTTTACAACAGATTGAATCTGTGACTAGAGCTCAATTAACTCTCTATGTTTTGCTAAGGTTAATGGACGTATACTTCTACAAGTCTCAGCAAATGTTTGAGTAAGGTGGGAAAACAGAGTAGCACAGAAACAGAATGGGATCTGATACTTGTTTTTCATGTGTACTTATTTGCAGGCTTGCTGGTGTTGTTCGTAGCTGTAAATATTAGATGAGTTATTAAAAGGTGTTCATAGCCTTCAGAAAGAAATTTTATCATATTTATTATACAGTGTTAGCCTATAAATTCCTACCTCCTGCTTTCGATAACCTTTTATAAAGATCTTAAAGATGTTTGAATAAGACTTGACAAAACTTGTCCCTCACCCTCCTCTAGCGTTGCACGCTAACATCCTAACGTGGTACCGCAGCAGGTCGGAGCGCTGGATTCAAAGCTCATGCCGCCTGGGACTTCCCTGGCGTCCAAGGCAGGCGGCGTGCCCTAACTGAGGAAAGCCTCAGGGTAAAGAGGTATCAGATCTGCTACAACATCAGCACGCTCTAAAGGTGGTGGAGTACAGCTAAGATACGGGAGCGAGACTAACAGCAAAGCAGATGTGGCAGGGAGGAGAAGGACTGACTTCTAAGAGAAAAAAGCTCATTTTAAATAAGGAAAATAAACTCTATAGCAGACCTGTTAAGATTTGGAAACCAAGAAGGAATTTAGTAGGCGAGCAGTAAAGATGATGGGTAGCTACAAATCTTTTCAAAATTGTTGCGTGTTTAGGGTGGATGACAGTGCTCGCCCTCAAACGGTGAGCAAACGTGAATATATTCCTTATACTCTTGAGTACGTGCATGTTCCCGAATTCGTTTGCCTTGCCCACCTACCTAGGCTGGCATGCTTACTTCCAAAAAGGCTTTTCCCGCATTAATCACCATGGAAACCAGTGAAGCCTTCTGCTACATATTCAAACAGAGCCATTAAATAAATAAGTTTAATAATAAAATTAATGAATGCCTGGAGACAACGGGGCAAACACCGAAACATCCTGATTGAAGTAAAATGAGAAACAGGACGGGAAAAATCTGTTTATGCGGGGGAAGGCTGCAAAGACGGCAATCCTCAATTGCTCCTGGGTATAGGTGAGGGATTCTGTGGGGCGGCTGGATGTACCCACTGAGTGCTTCCACGGGAGATCAGATTCCAGACAGGCACCCAAGCCTGGGTGTGAAACAACGGGGGCTGGTCCAGCGCCAGCCCTACAGCCTACGACCAGCCCAGAACTATCAGATGACTGGCTCAGGCAATTTGAGAGGAGAAACAACTCTAGCAGAAAGAAGAATAAAAACAATTATTAGCAGGGAGGGTTGGGCGGCATCCCTCGGTGCTGCAGTAATTGCGGCGGGTGCTACCACGCGTGCTGTCGTAAACAGCTTAACAGGAAGAATCACGTCCCAAGACTCTCGGGTCAGGTCACCCGCCCCGCACAAGGCCGCGCCGCGTGAGGAGCGTGGCCCTCGCCAGCCGCCTCGCTTCACGCCGTGCTTTGCCACCTCGCGTGAGGGCCACCAGCAGACCGGGACAGCCTAAGCCCCTCGCCACGTTGGGGTTTCCCCACCATAGGTGGGAAGGCGCGCACAGGCGAGGAGCTTTCAGAAATCCACGCAGCGCTTGGGGTGTAAGAAACGAGCGGTCTGGTTGCTTAAGAACGTTTTTCTGGGGGGAGGGGGGAAAAAACCAACCCCCAAAACAAAACCAAACAGAAAAACCCCAAAACAAACCAACAGAAAGACCGAACGTTTCAAAAAAAAGTACCTCTGAGACAAACGCCAGCGGTCAGACCAGCGCAAGCCCAAGCCCAAG